CCCTTATATATGATGTCAGATTTCCCCTTCCCCCTCCTTAAAGTAACATTAAAGATATGTGTAAACACCATTTTCTGGTTAAATTATACAATTATATCTCAGCATATTATATTATAGAACAGGTGATACCTCATCAAATAGTAAACAAAGTATTGAAAATTTTTTTTTCTTGAATAGACATCATTTTGATCTCAACACTCCTTCCTCATTGTCATTTCTTGTCAAACTTTTCAGTACCCCATCCCCCTTATATTTACTGACATCATTTATGGATAGCCCCAAAGTGTAACTTATCTAGGGACCGAGATAACGGAATTCTACTGTATATACTCTTTTTTTTTCATAAGCATAATGCTTATAGGCTCTATAAGCATAATGCTTATAGGCTCAGATTTGAAAAAAAAAATAAGCATATGTAAGCATATTCCTGAGCCTCTAAAAACCATTTTAAAAATTTTATTTTTATGTAATTAAAAATTTTAAGTATATATATTTCTAAAGTTAAACCAACAAAAACCGAAGTTTATAACAACATTAATTCAGCCACATAAAAACCAAAACAAAAAAACAGAGCTTAAGTCAACTTTTTATTTTTCTTATATCCATTAACCTTTAGTAACGCGCACACTTTTAGAAATTATTGAAATAGGCATATTTTATTAGAAATATGCTTAAGCTTAAGCATATTTTTGAGCATCTTTTTACTTTTTGCTTAAGCATATTCGAACCTGTTTCAAAAATTTCATATGCTTTAAAAAAAAAAAAACATGTATAATCCTCCCCTTCATTCTTTTTTTTTTTTTTTTTTTTTTTTTTTTTAGTTTACAATGTTAGTCGTGATACAAAATAATATAAGTCGTGATATATAATAATATAAGTCTGATACATATATAATAATATAAGTCGTGATATATAATAATATAAGTCTGATACATAAAAATATTTAAGACTTCTACAAGAAAAGAAAAAAAAAAAAAAATGAGTATATATATATATGTATATACAATTCAGCGTACTAACAATATAAGACTAGGTTTCCGAAAGAAGATCAGAGGGATCTTATCACCGGAACCTTAAAAAAGACATAATGCAAAGATTTAACATAATGCAAATATGCAATATACTAATACAATATAACATAATGCAAATATACAATATACTAACATTTTAATACTTAATATGCTGAAGATTTGAAAAATACATTTTACATAAATTTTTAGTAGAATTTTAGAATGTTGTCCATACAGAGAATGAAGTTTTTTAATTTAGTTTTAAAAACAGGAAGAGTAGTAGAAGGGTCAAAATTTGGTAATACTATTTTATTCCAAAGATGGGGTGTACGATATGCAATACAGAATTGGTTGAACTTCGTTTTACAAAATGGTTCATTTAGAAAACTATTACTTCTTAATGTGTATTTATTTATTGGTTTTAAAGAAAAAAGGTCATTGAAAACAAATAAAGATAAATCGTTTTTCCACATAAAAGTAAAACATAAAACATTAAATATGTTAAGTTTATAAACATCTAGTACATTCATATAATCAAAAAAATATTTCGAACGTGAAAAGCGATCCGCATAATTAACTACACGGATTGCATGTTTCTGACGGCGATAAAGATGTTGTAATTTACTTTTCTCCGTACTTCCCCAGGCTATGATTGCATAATTTATATAATTATGTATAAATGAATAATAGAGCTGGGTTAAGTTTTTTTTGTTTAGATAATTTCGAGCTTTGTATAAAATGCCAATATTTTTAGAAACTTTGGTGCTTATATGATCAATATGCTTTCTCCAAGTAATATTTTCATCAAGATAAACACCTAAGAATTTTATAACAGTATCTCTTTTTATTATAGTTTCATCAATGTAAATTTGAGGCATATTATTTGTTAAAAATCGTTTTTTTGCGCAGGAGTGAAAAATAATCCATTTTGTTTTGTTAATATTTAAAGTTAATTTATTAGCTTTGAACCAGTTCGAAATGTGTTTGAGTTCTTTGTTTGTAGTTGAAAAGAGTTCATAAATATCAGTATGGGATAAGAAAAGATTAGTATCATCAGCGAACATTATACTTTTCAATTTGGAAGCTTTGTTTAAATCGTTTACATAGATTAAAAATAGTAGTGGTCCGAGAATAGAGCCTTGTGGAACACCACAAGTTATGCTCAGGGGTTCATTCTTACTTTTACTATACGTAATAAGTTCAAAAAACATCATTATATATATTTATTATGTCACGTTTCGTAAGTTTATTTCCGTTAAGAACTCATTTGTATGTTGTGATGCATAATTTTTTTACATAATTTTTAGAAATATTTTAAAAAATTTTGTTTTTTATCAATATTTCTAAAAATAAAGCCATAAAAATGTAATATATTTTATACTAAAAATAACAATTCATTATAAACATTTTGGGATTTAATGATGTTAATTTTTACCATTAAAATCAGTCTGGCAAACAAATATTCTTTATAGAAAATGCTTCTTTCACAACTGCGACTTCCGAAACCGCAACTTTAGTATGTTGCAAAATAGTTTTATTTCGTATGTCAACATGGGAAATGCTAAATTTGGGAACTAGCATTTGCGAAATGAACATCAATAATTTTAAATGTTTTGTAACATACGGTACGGAAAAATGTAATTCCTCTATCTCAATTTCTTTACGAAAGAATGTTGTTTTTTCCGGAATTGCACGAAATCCTCCAGTTAACAACCCTAATATATATATATATATATATATATATATATATATATATATATATATATATATATATATATATATATATATATATATATATATATATATATATATATATATATATATATATATATATATATATATATATATATATATATATATATATATATATATATATATATATATATATATATATATATATATATATATATATATATATATATATATATATATATATATATATAAATATATATATATATATATATATATATATATATATATATATATATATATATATATATATATATATATACAAATATATATATATATATATATATTAAATATTATTATTATTATTATTATTATTATTATTATTATTATTATTATTGTTATTATTAATATTAATTTTTTTTTATTACAAAATTAAATTCAATATTAAAATATATACCGTTCGTAGGACAAATTGTTTACAAATATGTAAATAATAATAGACTACTGTACAAATAATGTCAGTGCAACTTTTAACAAAATTCAAATAATGGTGTTTATATATAGCTTCTTATATAAACTTTAAATCAATATTGTATAAAAGTAAAATAAAAATGAGTGGTGACAAAACTGGGTCTATTTAAAACCATATAAATATATTTTCAATTGAGAAAGTTACTTTTATTTAGTTTTCTTTTGAACTTATAATAATTCCATACATGAGAAAAATCAAAATTTTTTTAAATTATTTGGTTCCATAAAAAAACTCCACGAAAAGAAATGCAAAATTTACCAAAGTTTGTTTGAAACATTTTTTGTTTAATAAAATTATCATTTCTTAACAAATATTTATTTTTTTTTCAAAGAATATAAATCAAAAAAAGAAGCTGGGGATGAGTTGGTTTTACATTTAAACATAAAACAAAGAACATTATAAATATTTAATTGATATATATTAAAAACATTCATGTTAAATAAGAGTGGCCTTGAGTGAGTAAAACGATGAAGTTTATAAGACGCGCAATATGCTTCTGGTGACAATAAAGTGGCTTTAATTTACTTTTATGGATACTACCCCATGCAATATTTGCATAATTAATATGACAGTGTATAAAAGAGTAATATAGTTATGTTAATGAATATTTGTTTAAAACGCTTCTTGCTTTATATAAAACTCCAATACTTTTTGCAATTTTGTTGCACAAATGTCCAATGTGGTTCTACCATGATAATTATTCATCTACAATGATACCTAGAAAATTTGTGAAAATTACTCTTTTTATTTCAATGTTATCAATATGAAGAAGAGGCATATTACTTGGTAAATGTTTTTCAAATCGTGGATGAAATAAAATCCATTAAGTTTTATCAATGTTGAGTGAAAGTTTATTTGACTTAAACCAGTCAGACATTTTTGTTAGTTCAATGTTCATATCATAAAAAACTTTATTGATGTTATTATTAGATAGGAATATGTTTGTATCATCAGCAAACGTTATAGTTGTTAATTTTGAGACTTCATGGAGATCGTTAACATAAATTAAAAATAATAAAGGCCCTAGTATAGATTCCTGTGGAACTCCACAAGTTATATTTAGATTATCTTGTGAAGAAAATCCGTCGACATAGTCAAATTGTTTGCGATTTTTTAAATAGCTTTTTAGTAATTTTAAAACATTACCGATGATACCATATTTTCCGACATTAATTTTTGTGAGGTATTATTGTGTGTGAAAAATATTAATAAAAATTATAATAAAAACATTTTTTCATTTTCCCTTCCAAGTTAATCTTAAATGCGCTATAAGTTTGTAAGATTGATTTTTATCTTTAAGAATATAAAGCAACAATTATGCCATAAATTTATGTCAAAATATGTCGATAACAAAATATGTCTGAAAAACCTTATATCGGAGAAAAACAATATAGACATAAAATTATCTCAAATTAAGTCGACAGAAAATGTGATTGATATAAAATAAATCGACATATGTGAAATTACGTTGACAGGACTTCTAGACATAATATGATGAAACAATCCTGAGCATGCGAAAAAACATTAATGATTGATTTTTGAACCTAACACAAACCCTTATAACTTTACTAACATTTATTTACGCCTATCTCCATATGTCAGTTGATTTATGTACATTTATTTACGCTTATACCTACATGCGAGTCAATATATGTAAACTTGTTTTTTTAATGTTTCTTTTTCTTTACTTAAATATTCAATTTTTACCATAAAATTGTTAAGATAAGCAGAATACAATTCTTTTTCATTCATTGTTTCATAATTTTAAGAGAGAGTCGTGCTACTCAAGTCAAAATGGTTTAAAGACAAAAGTACCATGTAGTAGTGACGAAGATTGTGTGAACACAATTGATTGCACAACCCTTTCGGATGATTCGCAAACATATAAAAGCTTCATTAACGGCAAGTATTATTATATATATATATATATATATATATATATATATATAATATATATATATATATATATATATATATATATATATATATATATATATATATATATATATATATATATATATATATATATATATATATATATATATATATATATATATATATATATATATATATATATATATATATATATATATATATATATATATATATATATATATATATATATATATATATATATATATATATATATATAGGGCCGGGGGGTGTGGTCGATTCTATTAAAAACTTTTATTGTCATAGAATGTCCTATGACTTTATTATTGTCTTGTATCACATAACATAACAATAAAAGTTATATATCACTTTTTTTTGATTATAAAATTCATACTGTCATTGTGTTTACAACGAAAATATAGATTGTATACATAATATATATTCTAATATGAAAAATCTTTATGAAAGAAATAAAACGTAAAAAAAAATTTGGTAATAAATGTGACAATAACAATAAAATTTGTAAAAAGTATTGATTATTAATAGTATTTTTGCTCAACAATATTGTTGATTAAAGGTAATAATTACTTTGTAATAATGTTTATTTGTGTTCTTTACAAATTTTAGACAGAAAAAATTTATTTTAGTTTTTGACTGTATTTATAATTTTATCGAAAACTATAATAGTTTTATATATAATTATCTTCTTAAAAAATTTTTCAAAATGTTTTTTTAAAGTCATTTTTTCATATATACTAAAACTAAACGAAAAAAAAATTGTTAAAAAAAATCTAAGAAATAATCTATTATTGTTATAAGAATTAAATTAATAACTTACTATCTAATATATTTCAAACAATTCTTTATAAAACCTTCAGTTATTCTTAATTAGGTTTCAACGTTATTTCAAAATAAAATAAAAAATAGTGTACGGAATTAACAACTACCAAACAAAAAATTAACGAAAAGTTAACCAAAATAAAATAAAATATTTGTGACCGATATTAATAAAAGGAGTTTTTAATTTAGTTTACATGTTTGTTTGATCTGTGACCTTTTTAAAAAAAGATACACTTCAGAACGTAAACTGAACGTACATTGTACGTTTTTTGTACCTGTAGTGTTTGCCGGCAAAGGTCTTAACATTAAAATGTCTTATCATTGAGATCTAAATAGACGTAATAAAAATGGACAAAACAAACATATAAATGGCACTTTACAGTTAAACATATAAAATGGCATTTTACAGTTAAACGAGGAGCGCTCGTGGCGGCCCAAACCAACCAATGAGAAGTCGCAACATTCAATTCACGACCGTTTTCATATAATTAAAAATTTGTCTTCTCCCACTTCACAAAGCAATACTTCTAAATTGTTACTAAACTGCTTCTATGCAAACGCCACATCTCTAAATCCTAATAAACTCACCGAACTTGAATTAGCAACGTCCCTCTATGATTATGACACCATTTTTATCACTGAAACATGGTTTAACGAATTCTCAACACCAGCTATTCACAAATACAATCTCTTTAGAAAAGATCGCTCTAGTCGTGGAGGAGGAGTAGCCATATATGTCAAGAACAGCATTATTGCCAACGAAATTGACTACTCTCAACTTCTGGCTCGAACTCAAACTCCCACAAGAATCTCTCCTAATCGGCTGCATCTATCGCCCACCTACCAATAATGTTCTGGCCTTTAACGAAATAGTAAAAGCTATCTTCTACGCGAAATCGGCTGTAGAAAACAAAAAGTTTAATGGACTAATAATCACCGGTGACTTCAACTTTCCCGACGTCATATGGCACGACGACTGGACCGATACCACCGGCGCTGAAACTAGTTTTGGCACTAAATTTACCGAAACCATTTTTGACCTACATCTACACCAGCACGTTATCAATCCCACCTTCATCCAAGCCAACGGTCTGTTAAAAAATACACTAGATCTTGTAATTACCGAAACAACCGAACGATTAACCCATATTACTCTCGGTCCTCCTCTTGGTAGCGCCTCGCAAGGTCACTGCACTATGACATGGCAACACCAGCTAGCCAAAAACGTCTGCAACTCTCCCCGTTTTAACATCTCAAAATTTATATACAGGAGAGGTAATTACGCGAATCTAAACAAGAAACTCTTCCAAGTTGATTGGGTTTAATTAAAGACCGATATGCCGACGAATGTTATCAAATCTTCTGCGATAACTATATCAAATTATGTGACAAATTTATTCCGCGTGTCACCTATAAACCGGCCAAACACAGGCAGCCTTGGCTAACCAGCGAACTTTTTTTACTAATTAAACGTAAGAAAAAACTTTGGTACCTCAACCGCAACAGCAAATGGCGAATCATTCCTCTTGTCAAAGAGTATAACCAAACTCGAAACCTTTTCAAAAAAGCTTCCTGCACTGCAATTAGAGCATTTGAACACAAATTAGCTAGCGACAAATGGAACCCTAAGCGTCTATACGCATATGTAAACAACAAACGCGCCGTCAATAACCAGATAACTTTTATGTGCTCACCCGCTGGGGAAATAAGTAGTGACCACGCATCCATAGCCAATATACTTAACAGCCAGTTCCAGTCAGTATTCAAAATCGAACCATCAGATCAACAACTACCTCCCTTTGTTAAACGTACAACCGCCTTAACCTCCTCCGTCATCTTCATCTATGATTCCGTTCACAAACACCTATCTGCTCTTAACGCCAATAAATCAACTGGAGGACACGGTATTAGTCCATTTGTGCTTAAAGCATGCGCTGATGCGGCGGCTACCTCGCTTGCCATTATTTTTTAGAAATCGGTGGATCAAGGTGTAGTCTCAAAAGCGTGGCTCTCGGCAAACGTGACGCCACTGTTCAAAAAAGGCTCCAGACTCGACCCAGAAAACTATAGGTCTATCTCCATCACCTCAGTACCATGCAAAATAATGGAAAAAATTGTTAAAGAAAAGATCATGCTGCATCTTGTAGCTCATAAACTTTTTGTTGATTGCCAGCACGGCTTCGTCAAAAAAAAAAAACCTGCGTCCCGAATCTGCTTGAGGCCATGGACTTTCTGACCTACAACGTTTCTCGCAAGCTTCCTGTAGATGTTCTTTTTCTTGACTTTGCCAAAGCCTTCTATAAAGTCCCTCACAGAAGATTACTTCAAAAACTTGAATCCTACGGAATCGAAGGTAACGTTCTTAACTGGATAAAAGCTTTCCTTTCAAATAGATCACAGCATGTCATGTTAGGTAATACGTCATCCACCTGGGTAAAGGTTACCAGTGGCGTTCCGCAAGGTTCAGTGCTAGGTCCTACGCTGTTCATAATATTTATTAATGACTTACCCGAACACATCAATAGCAAAAACTTATGTAAAATGTATGCAGACGATACTAAAATCCTGAGTGTCGTCAAAATCACTGAAGACAAAGCTCGTCTGCAATCCGATATAGATAGCGTTGTTACCTGGACTCGAACCTGGTTAATAGAACTCAACATCAAGAAATGCAAAGTCATGCATTTCAGTAAGTACAATGTTTCCCCACACATTTATTTAATGAACGAGTACGACGCTAATGGTAGCGTCACTAGAACAGTAATCGAGTCTTGAACATCCGAAAAAGATCTAGGCGTTCAAATTTCCAACGACTTAAAATATGAGAGGCAAGCACAAATAGCCGCTGCCAAGGCTAATAAAGTCCTCGGGACATTGATAAACGCGTTTATAAGCAGAGATACCAAAATATGGAAAAAACTTTACCCCACTTATATACGCCCACATCTCGAGTTTGCAGTTACTGCCTGGTGCCCGCATCTTGAAAAAGACATAAATGTCATAGAACGTGTTCAGCATCGGGTTACCAAAGTACTGCACGAAATAAAGCGCTTCGATTACGAGACAAGATGCATCAAACTCGGTCTCACCTCTCTATTAAATAGACGTTTACGCGGCGACCTCATTCAAAAATATCAATTCAAAAACAGTATCAACTCAATTAGCTGGCATATAGATCCACCTGACATCCCACCTAGCTACGGTCATCGCAAGCGTTTTCATTGTAAAATGGACAACAACTGCCTCGTTCGCTATAATTCCCTCAACAACCGCGTTGCTAACCCATGGAACGCATTGCCTAACATAGTAGTCAGTGCTACCAGTGTCGATCGCTTCAAAGCAAAATTCGATCAGCTTTAATAATTACTACAGCGCATCATCTTCCGTGCAATTTTGCACGAGCTAGCACGGCTAGCTGTTGATGGGCTTACGGAACACGCCCGCTCCGTGTAATTTAACTTTTAACTTTTAACTTAACTTAATGACAAAATGCAGACAGCGACATTATTAAGATGTCTTGGTGCCCATCGGGATATATAATGATACCCACTGGATATTATCAATCTAAAAAGTTTTTCATTTTTTTTAGATCGATCTCGAATATCCGTTGGCTCCACAGCCACCACTACTAAACCACATGTTATAATTAATGGCAATATTAGAGGTAATTTTTGTTATACTTGAAAATTATTCTTTCATATCAATCAATTAATCTATATATTTTTTAATAAAAGATCATACAATCGAGGTCATTTACAAATAGTTAAAAACTAATCTTAAGTAAATACCACGAAATAGGATAAATAATACAAATAATGATAATAATAATGATGACAAAATAAAAGTTGTAAGTATAATAAAAAAATTATATGATAATGAACCAATATCAATTTTAAAACAACAATTGAATATAATGCACAGATATGAAAGTTACAAAGAGTTATGTAACTAAAACAAAATGTAACTAAAACAATTACTGCAAAAAAAAGTAACAATGATTTCATAAATATAATAATCTTAATAGCAATAATCATAGACATTATCTTTTCACAACTGCAATACCCGTTATTTCAACATTCGTTTGTTAGTGATATTCAGGAACTATGCCATCTTAGATATTAAATTTTCAAAACCTAATTCAAAATAAAAAGAAGGTAAAAATACCACTTTCTAAAAGTAAAATTCCTTCCGAAGTTGAACGAAACTTGAAGTATGCAATAGAGTGCTGGAATGCAAAAGAGCAAAGAGGAATTTTCAAGCAAATTCTGGAAGAAAACGTTTTTAAGCAAAGTCATCCGAAATTACTTTCTTATTTTTTTCTTTTTACCTTGTAAATTGGGTGTTAAATAAATAAAATAATAATAATAATAATAATAAAAACAATAAAAACAAAATAATTACTTCATTAAAAAATAACAATAAATAAAACAAAAAAGTTATTCTTTTTTTTTTTTTTTGACATATTTTGACAAAATATAGCTTATAAATTTCTGTAATAGCTAAAAAAAGTCTTAATAATCATCATAATTGTTTTGGCGTCCAAGTTTCCACGCTTGCAAGGGATAAAAGCTTCTCATATGCCGTTTCTTCAACAACTAAGGTCTTGAACATTTTTGTTTTTTAAATGTAACTTGTTTAAGTCATCTGCAATTCACTCTCTTCAAGTTTTTCTGCTTTTGCACTTACCTTTTTCACCTGATGTAAATAAAATCTAAATTTTTCTTATGGTTTAAATAATGTAACTAAGGTACAACCTATAAATATTTATCAATATCTTAATATAGTCTATACATATCTGAAATTAATTTCAAAATAAAATTGATTAGAAATAGGCACTTCAATCACGTGACTTTTTCCGTGTGACAAATTCAGAAGTTAAATATGAGCGAATTTTTCGGCAACTTTTTCCGGAATTATTTTAATGTTATCTAATTTCAAACCCGATTTCCAGTTATATTTCACTGGCAAAAATTTAAAATAATGTTGATCTGTGGAGGTTATTCCTCGAAGTTTCTTAAAAAAGAAGCTAGAAGATTTTTCATGTCGTTTTCTCTATAGTTTATTCTTGACAAGTACATGTTCTGTTTTTTTTGCTTTGTTTTTGTTCTGTTCTAGCATATCCAAAAAGATTACTTTATTTGATATACTTTATTTGATACTTTTTTTATTCTAATTTGTTTTTTACCTCTCGACTTAACAATTTAAAAAAGAATTTTTTATTATTTTTTTGATAATTTTCTTGGCGCTATTATGGTGCTCCGTTCAACCTACATAGCTAGTTATTGACCTATATCTGGCTGCGTTCTTATTCTAGCCCCGATTTTTAAAAAAGTCTTTAATGCAAGGTTGTATTTATTGCTTTAAAGTAAAAATACAATACTTAGACTTTATAATTTATAAATATGCAGTTTAAAGTACTTGTTGACTTGTTAACTGTTTTAAAAACATTTTTTTAAGATTTGATAAATATTATATTATGTAAACTCGATGTTTGGTATTTTCAAAGTTTTCCTTATTACATCCAAACATTTTACTTTTGTTAATCTTTTAAATTGCTAATAATATTATGATATAATATTGTTAAAACTATGATGCATTTATGCTTATTTTGTATTACGTTTGATAGTTCTTATTTTGCCTGTGTGTATTAGGGTGATGACTATTTGACTTTTTTAGAAAAAATTAATTTCCTGTGTCATAAATTGATTAACTTTTATTAGAAAACATTGAAAACATTTTCAACTCCTCTCAGTTGTAAAAAAAGGTCACAGCAATTCAAATTACGTTTCGTCATTTATTTAATTTTGTAACTGCTCCTACCAATACGTGTGGCTTTTCTGCAAATCACATAAAACTTGTATAGATTAAAACGCAGTTTGATAACGGAACAGAAGTAATTCTCAAAACATCAGACTGGAGAAATTAAATGTTTCATCTCACTTGAGTATTTAAATTTTTTGAGGAAAAGGGACATTTTCCATAAATCAGGTTTCAGAAAATATCCAACATCAGCAATGCGAGGTGGAACCTCAGAGCTTTACTAGCGATCCTGGCCTTCATTTTAATTCCTTCAACAAGGACAGTTCTGCAGAGAGTGTTGATTTATATTGTATAGCTGGGCAAACCAAAGGTTTACGAACCAATTGTACAACAAAAACGACTTTAATAACTTGCTGAAATACTGAATCCACACAAAAAGGCTTTAAGCTCTTCAAAAAATTACTGGAATTTTACTTGAAAAACTACCATCCATACTACAGATACCTAGAAATAATTAATGCGCAGAGCTCGCAATCAAAGTAATGGAGAAAATCTATTCATCACACAAAAATAAAGATGAATTGCACCCTCAATTCTTTCTGTACAACAAGCTAGAGCTTGGTCAACGGTCTGAATCATTGTTGGATTGAAAATTTATTGTATTACATGACATTCTTAATACATTTGAATACATAGTAGTACTTATGTCAAAATCAATTTTTCAATGGCGGGGTGAACTTTTTTGATAAGATACCTCATGTCGCTTGGTATAACTAGAGTGGGAGCTAATCCTCGATTTTAACTATTCAAAAATACATATTTCTTCAAACTAAAATCAAAGTTTTATTTTAATATTCATTTTTTTATCTTTATAATCATATTTTTATCAAAATTGTTATAACAAAATAAATTTGTATTCTACTTGATTACAACATATACCAGTGGTGCATAGGTTGACATATTGGGTGAAGGGGAGGGGATGCCAAAGTTTCCAAAACAAAATTTAAATGCAGTTATGATGCCTTGTATCTCTTGATGTAACCAGAGTGGGTTGTAACGCCATCTTTACTATCCAAAAATACATATTTCTTGAAATTAAAATAAAAGAATAATTTATTTTTATAATTATTTGTGTCGTACAAAATGTCTAAAAATTATTATTAAAAAGATGCTAAAATTTATCTATTTATCTGTTTTGTCTTCATTTCCTTTTTGGTATTTTTGTCTTGGCTTTTTTTAAATGATTAAAAAATTAAAGTTCGATTAATGAAACTATATAATAATCTTTTTTAACAATAGACACCACGTGAAGGTAAGACAGAGCCGTCTATCAAATATTTTATGCAAGTTTCATCAAATGCGATATGTTTTTGCAAGTCACAAACCCTGCGGTATCTATTTTGCAAAGTTCATTATTTGCAATACCTTTTTGCAAGACACAACACCTGCGGTAGCTATTTTGCAAGTTTCGATACTTGTGATATCTTTTAGAAATTATTGTGTTTTAAAAATATTTCTTACTAAGGGTTTAAAATTAAAAACATTTTTTAGTAAGAGTTTTTTCAAGCTGGGCTAAAAGAAAAAAATAATTAAATACTCATTTAAACTAAATACTAATAAATTAGTAAAAAGAAAATAAATTGTGTTAATATTAAGTAACAGCAGTAACCAAATAGTGAGATTTACGAATGTATACTAAAATTATATAAAAAATGAAAACATAAATTGCTCAATCGCATTTCTGTTTTTTCATCTAAAAAACAAACAAAATTAAATTGTTTTGTAAAACAATATATACACTTTTTCATATAATTGATATATTGTTGTTTTAATAAAAAGAAGGTAAACAAATTGATATATTGTTGTTTTAATAAGAGGAAGGTAAACAAATTTTAAAATAAATTGTTAAAGAACAATACATGATATTAAAAATTGTTATGTTTAAATAATTTTTATTTATTGCAATTATTATTGTTTAATTCAATGAAAAAACACATTTAGCAATAACATTTAATTGAAAATACCATTGCTGAAGACACCAATCACTACATTATTTCAACGATTGATTGAATTTGTAAGACATCAATCACTACATTATTATTTAAATTATTATTATTATTAATAATAACATTATTTTTAATAATGTAATTGTATGTAAGTGTTATTATTATTAGTTATTATAGTGTTATTATTATTAATTTAATAACAATCATTATTAAATCATTAAACTCATGCATTATTACTCGATATTTATTAGATTTATTGACTACAATCTTTTATAATATTAAATACAATAATAATAAAATTTACAATATCATTAATATGATTGTATTAGGAATTAAGTCAGTAACAATGTATTTGGTCTAAACTAAATTCTCAATCTTATACCGCCCCCTCCCGTGCAGAATTCAGAAAAAGGGATTTCAGGTACCAAAACTGCGATAATTTTTATAGTATCTCCGACTAAATATTTTTTCTGAATTTTAACGGGTACTTAGATAATGTGTATAAAAATTAGTATAATGCAAAAATACTCTATTTAATGAATAGGGCTATTTCTCCTTCTCTTTGTTCACAACTTTAATTTTATGCTTGAGGATGGTAAGCTCTAACTATACATTAAAAGGTTCCTCTGAAGTTAAATATTTTATTAAAAACTTTATAAAAAATTCTCGACATTGAATATTAATATTAATCATTGCAAAACTACGACAACATATAAGTTTATATAGAAAACTACGACAACATATAACTTTAAATAGAAAACTACGACAACATATAACTTTATATAGAAAACTATGACAACATATAATTTTATATAGAAAACTACGACAACATATAACTTTATATAGAAAAAATCCTAATGTAATCATTTAAGAAGACTGCTGAGGTCAACACCAATTT